GTGGTGACTGACCATGTTTCTTCCTGACCATTGTAACAATGTCGCCAGAGATGTAAATAATCGTGCACGTTGGGTTTCACCCCTCCGACTGTCCCTGTTCGAATTCCTCGAACAAATACCTCCACGCCTGCGCAATCATTTCACCATCTTTGTTGTTGATGCAGGTGCCCCGACAGTTAGCTTTATGAATCTCCCAGGCCTCCAGGTGTCGGATGTGATCTGTTCGGAACGCTTGTCTAATTAGTCTGGTATTCCGGAAGTCCGCTTGTGAATTTCAGAGTCTGTGACGTAGGTCGATAAGGCAGTGGTGTGCCTGTTATTTTTAATATCAGCTTGATGTTCTCGTATTCGTTTTTGAGTTGAGCGGATGGTGGAGCCAATGTAAATCAAGTCCCTATGGAACCTGTCATCCCTGATGGGAATGGCGTATACACCTGGGGCCCTGCTGAGATCCATCGCATCCTTGGCGTTGCGCAGCAGGTCGTAAATAGTGCCGGTTCTCATGTACGTGATCTTTGTGTGGTTACGGCAAGCTATCTCCCTGTATAGGGGGTCTAAATGTTGGTTGAATCTGACGACTGCACGGCTCACATTCTTATCGGGCTGGTGGTTGTCGTCTGGCGGCGGCAGGGGGTTGTCGCTGTGGTGTGGGGGACGATGGGCGTAGGCACAGGCTAAACCGCGCACCATGCGTTTACTGTAGCCATGCTCAACGGCAATTTTTTCAATGTGTCAGAGCTCTAACCGGGTGTCGCAATCGTTTGTGTGGTGAGTGAAGGCCCATTTGGTAAGGGCACAAAAGGCCGCAATCTTGTAGAAAAACGGGTCGGAGGAGTTCGCGGGGATGAATAGTGGTAGTTGGTCCGGTTTACGGTATACGCTCGTTTCTATCTTACCATCCTTGAGACGTATGTTAACATCTAGAAAATGTGCGCTCAAGTCGCTAACCTGATCTAAGCTGAGGGTGAGGCCGTAAGCACTGTCGTTCATGCATGACAAAAAATTGTCGAGATGCAGTGTGGTTTTCCAAAGTATAAAGATGCCATCCACGTATCTTCAGTATAGACTAATGTATGGTAAGAATTTGGGCAACACTCTCTCCTCTAACTGCCTCACGACTAGCTCGTACAGATCCCCCGAAAGCGGGCTGCCCTGGGCACACCTCGTCTTTGTAAATAAGCAGCGTTGTTGAACTGGAAAACCAAAGTGTAGCACATTAGATGAGCCAGCTCCAATATCTGCTGATGGTGCTGGAGCGCATCATTCTCACGAAGTAGAAGGTCCCTAAGTGCACAGAAGCAAGGCTGCAGACATATCGAAGGGAAAAGGGACATGAAATCCAAGACTGATGTGCGGGTCGTCGCCTTCATCTACCCACCGTAACAACTGAACAAAAGCGGTGGAATTGGTGGTAGAAAAGCTAAGTCACCAACAAGGCTGCTCGAAAAAGCCATTCACAGCATCGTCACTGAGCGTTTGAAGGGGTATAGGTTTTCTATACCCCTTCAAACGCTTTTCATAGGTTAGAAACAAAATGGATCTTTAAAGAAAATTCAAAAAAGCATATACTGGTATACAGTAAGTCTCATTTAACATCATCAGTATCTTCTTTGAAATTGTAATGTTAAACAAGAACAATATATGATAGAATAGAATGAAACCAATTCTATCATAGATTAATTGATATAAACAAGATATAATTCAGTTAATATTCATTTACTTGGATTTTCTTCAACATCCAGTTTTATTTCCCAACTCATTGAATCAGTTTCACTGTTTATAAAGAAAATTCAACAATAGTAATTGAAAATGTATACAAATGCACTGTACAGTACTTGTATCTTTCCTCAACAATATTATAACAAAGTGATCTTAAGTAAAGACTTGCTGTATAAGATTCCAGTAGATGGAGACCATAATACTATGTTTTCTGTTTAATTACTTATTAGGTATTTACTGAAAGAATTAAATGAGAGAACATCAAGAAGTGAATAAAAAAGGAAGAGTCTGTCAGAAGAATTGATTTCAATCAAAAGTAGAAATTAAATGCTGAGATAGAAGAAGTTAAGATAATTATGTCTTGTCTGACACTAAAAAAAATTTTTTGTTTTTTGAGGACTCTAAAAGAACTTGTTATCATAACTAAAGCTGGCTTGATTTTAAATAAGAAACAGAGACTTTGAATTTAGATACTTGGGTTTGGGTCTCTTAATAATTACTTCCACATATGAATGTCTTAAATTTTGATTTAAATGTTGCTGTATTTTATTTTAATTATGTGTTTATTCTAATTTTATAAATTTATTTGTTTTTTTTTATTTACTTTGATTTTGGCAAAGTTTTGTTAACTAAGCTACATTTTAGAAATTTTTAAAAATTGTTATGTCATATGTCAATGATCATATTCAAATCTATTAATCTCAATGTTTGAAAATGTTGTTCTGTTTTCTTGTTTGTACATTTGTGTGAATCCAGTGATGAGACAAACTTGGCATTAAAAAATTTTTCTTGTCAAATTTTTTTCAACTTATTAGCATTTCATCACTTTGTTTAAATTTTACAAAAGTTATAAATTTTAATGTAATATAATTATTATAAGTTTTTATGTTAGAATCCTGTTCAGAGGTTTTTTTTTTATTTATTCATTTTGAAAGATTTTAATGATAAAAATTTAGATGTTTTAATTGTTTAAATACAGTATAATTAATTGTTTAAATACAGTATAACTAAACAGCCTTTTTATATTTTATCCATGAACTTTTAAAAATGTCTTGAATTACTGTCTAATTATTCTTCAATTATATATATTATCATTTAATTTTTTTCTAATATTATCAAGTCAATTATTTTTAATAAATAGTAATTTTTTATAATAGTAATGGAATTTTAGCTATAAAAAATTCCATTACTATTATAATTTTGAAAAAAATAAATTATAACCTATGCAAAACAATGTGTAAAGTAGAAAAATTTTAATATATATATGATATTCTACTAAATTTCTTACAAATTCTAAAAATATTAAGATTTTTTTTAATATACAAATCATCAAGGGATGATTTATTTTAGAAAAGTGGTCACAGAGAATTTTTTTAAAGTTATTTATTATTTTGTCTGTTAGTGGTCCATTTTACACAAAATGTTAAAATAAATATATAAATTATAACATTTTCAATTTATTAAAATTTTTTATCACTACTTTTCTAAAATTATGTAAATTAATGTGTAAGTTTTTATAATTTTTTTAAAGATAAACAAATATTCTTTAAAAAGATAAACAAATAAAAAATAAACTTTTTGAAAGTTTATTTTTTTTATTGTTTTTTTTTTATTATTTTTTTTGTTTCTGTATACAGTAGAGCCTCGATTATCTGACTCAATTGGGAACTGGGGTTGGTCGGATAATTGAAAAGTCGGATAACTGAAAAGTATGAAAAAATCCATTATTAGTGTAGTATATTATTATATCCCATGTAATTAGTATATTAGTATATTGCTATTAACCTACTTCGCGTTGAATTTTCATCGATGTTAAGCCTGACAAAAATTTTTTAAAATAATAATCATCGCTATTGTATCGTTAAAAATTAGAAAATTAAGCCTCGTTTAAANGTTTGCTGGAATCAGCGGTGAGCCGCCATGACAGCCGCTGCCGTTTGCTCGCGTCATCACGTGACACGTCGTCTCCAAAGCGGTCCGGTTTCGAGGCTAAAACAGGAAGAGCCGCCATGACAGTCTACGACTCTGGACATTAACCCCTGCTCCAGCTCCAGAGTTAATCCACATGGGTTATCGTTGATCAGATCTATAAACTGGTTAACTCTGCGATTATCTTTCCACAAAATAAAGACATCATCTACATACCTTGCGTAAGACAATATATCTTCCTGGAACGAGGGGAGTATATCTTTTTCGAGTTTATGCAACACTAATTCGCAGAGTATAGCTGACATGGGTCTACCCATCGGTACGCCCCGTGCCTGTAAGTAAGTTTTATCTTCAAATTGAAAGAAAGATGTGTGGCAAACTAAATCTGCCAATTCCAAGATCTGCATGTGGTATTTCCAGCAAATCGTTTTTTAAGATATTAAAAAACAATTTGCTGGATTGTTTAAAGGTTTTGATTTTTATTTATAGTGTAGTTCCAGTAAGAAAGTATTTTATTATTATTTTCATTAAAAATCATTGTACTGTCTTTGAAAGTAAAATAATTATGATTACTCTGAGTTACCATATTTTTTCTGTCTGCTATGTCTATTACATATATGCAAAGTATGAGTTTAAGAACTATAGTTTTGAATCAGTTTTAAAAAATTTATATGCAAATTAATTAGTATTGTATATTAGTTCAAAGATATATATCAAATGCTGTTTGTTTTTATTTGCAAATTTATATTGCAAATAAAAGCAAACAGCATATATATCTTTGAACTAATATAGAATACTGTAAAAATTGTATAAATAATAGCATACTTTTATGTAAGTATTGTTATGAGGTTAGCTCTGATCAAAATTACTTAAATCGTATTGTTATATATTTATATGTTATATGTGTATTTATATATATTACTAAATTATACATAATAATAAAATTTTTAGAAATATTTATTCTATATTGTATTTACTTGTAATTAAAATTAACCAACTTTTTTCCCTATATACAATTTAATTACATTAACAAAAAACAGTAGGAAAGTTGTACTCAGATGTAATTTTTTAATATTTGATTTTTTAATAAAATTGATTGGCACATAAAAATCCATATTTATATTATATGTATATAATACAATTTATTATTTTATAAATATGTAATAACACATTTATTCATTAATAATTTCATAGTAATTGTTTTTCTTATTGATTTTATATTTTGTAGTTTGAAAGATTTTTTAAATTAACCATTAATGAAAATTTTGTATTTGATTTGATATAATTTAAATTACTAGTGTTATTATTTTATGTAAATTAAATAATTTATTTTCAAAAATTGCTAATTTTAGGTATGGAATAACATTGGAATTGTGAAGTGTTATAATACTGAAGAAGAAAATTCTATTGATGTTGAATTTCATGATACTAGCATACATCATGCAATTCATTTAATAAATTCATTGAATCATACTATGGCTTCTTTATCTACTGAAGGGTTATTACTTGCATGTTCTAAAGACAAAGAGAATGCAAGGTTAGTTTTATATTTAATTGAATGTCTATTTGTGTTTATATAAAAAAAATCATAAAATATTTTTTAT